GATCAGTCCTTGCACTTACAACCAACACAGCATCCATCTGGTCATACGATCAAAATTTGGATGCTAGGCATCTGGCACGATCGCCATTTGCAACCTTCTCAGCCAGCTTCCAACAAGCAAGATCAATGGAGGAAGCCTGATTTGCTTAATGACTAGGTGATTCACTTAATAACTGCAGTGATTTGCTTAACAAGGTAGCAAAAAAAATTGTAAAATTGGGCACGATTCATTCAGCCTTGCTTAGCAATGTAAATTTTGGTCCCAAGTGTGGTCCTAAGTTGAGAACTACCTGTAGTGTGTGGGATGGTGGTCGTGGAAGCATAAAACGTACTTGGTAGAGAGAGAAAAAAAATCCCTCTCTCTTTTTTTATTCCCCAAAGTTTTTTGAAACTTGCTGTTTCCTCCCAAGGAAACTTAAGTCAAAGCAGCTGGTTTCACTCACTGCTTCCTCCATTCAATGTCAAGATTGCATCCTTTGGAAATAAGGGTACATTTTGCAGTGCCTCTGGATTCAGTCCATCTCAGAGAGACCCACCGTTCTCTACAGTATCAGTCAATCCAATTTCAGCAATAGAGAGAAATTATGTCAGCTGGAGAAGATTAGTCAAACTGACTCACTTAGACTCCATCATAATGCAACTTAAGAATGTATTGTTACAGTTTTGGAGAGTGGGTGGGATTGGAGGTTGCTAGGGAGCAAGGAAACTTGGGGAAAGTATAGGGAAGTCCCCAGGAGCACTTTAGAGAATCTTTCTGCCTCTGTCTGGAAAACTTTATGCAGCTCTGCTTCTGTTTCTTATTAACAGAAAAGGGTATGAGGGTTTGGCCTAATGAGAAGTCCTTTTTCAAAAACAGAAAGCATAATCCTGACATTTTGAGGGAATCAGCCTATTTGAAAGGATTTTATTTGTCAATCCATGTTAGAAAAAAAAAAGCTTCTCCAGCAGAAGGTGAAGGGCTGGAAATTGTAATTAAACTCTCCTGGAAGAGATGGTGGGCAGACTTAGATGTACACACGATGGATGGATGGATGGATGGATACCATGAATAGGAGGCCCATGCAAGGCCTGGGGAAAAATGTTTTTAAAAGATTGCTTAAAGATGGGGGTTGTAAATGTCCCTGGGAGGGAATGCTGTTCCAAAGAGTAGAAGCAGTGATGGAGAAGGCTCACCTCCTGGGTCCTTAGATAATACTGCTTAATCAACAGGATCCAGAACAAACTGTCAGAATGCATGCAGTATGCTAGTACTAAAAGAGATGACTGGTCCTCAAAAAGCTAATCCCGGTGCTATATAAGACTTTATAAATAATAACTAGTGTATTAAATTGCATCCAGAAGCTGACTGGTAATCAGTGTAGATCATATACGATATTACATAGGCATAGGGACACTTCTCCATTACTGCTCATATTGCCACATTCTGGACTGGGGTAGTTTTTGAATGGTCTTCAAGACCAAATTTGTTTTCCTTGCTCCTGACATAGTTGGTTGGCTCTCTCTCCAGGGTAGTTCTACCAAGAAATCAGCCACTCTCTCCACAGCCACCACAGATACTAGTGTTACAGGTATGTAGGAGCTGATATATTTCCCCCCTCCTCTCCGTTGCAGTCCTAATTCCTGTGGCCTGAAGGAGAACGTTGGTTTTCTTTGCAGATCCCAACATCTCACTTCCTTGGATTGGCTCTCAAGAACTCCATGAATATGAGGAGGTAGGAGGTCCTAGGAGATTGGAGGAAATGGGACCACTCTATGATGAATGGAATGCCAACTATGAACCATGGATCAATGAATATGCAGTGAGTAGCTGGAGAGGGAGGTGATTTCTCAGACAGTCCTGTGGTGTTGCCGATCAAAAGTACAGTAGGTTGCTTTATCAAGGAAGTTTTGTTGATGGATACTTTAATGGAAGTATTTAATCAGTGGAACAACCTGCCTCCAGAAATTGTGAATGCTCCAACACTGGAAGTTTTTAAGAAGAGACTGGACAACCAGTCTGTCTGAAATGGTATAAGGTTTCCTGCCTGAGCAGGAAGTTGGACTAGAAGACCTCCAAGGTCCCTTCCAACTATTCTGTTCTGTTCTGTTGTTCTATTCTATTTATTCCATCCCATCCCATCCCATTCTCTATCTCAGAGGTCTTCAGACTTGACCCTTTTATGACTTGTGGACGTCAACTCCCAGAATTCCTCAGCCAGCATGCCTGGCTGAGGAATTCTGGGAGTTGAAGTCCACAAGTCATAAAAGGGCCAAGTTTGAAGACCCCTGCTCTATCTTAATACTTTAAAAATGACATGAAGTCTTACCAGATCTTATTCCTTGTGTTTAGCATGTCTACCAAGGGATTGGAAGATGGCCAGCTGCCTCCACAAAGACAGCACAGATCTATGACTCTGTGGCAAACTATCTGCCCCTGGATACAGAGCTGCCTTTTGAGCAACAAGGGGAACTAGTCTAAGTAACCTGCTTTGTATTTCTCTGACCCACCATCTAAGATTGTGTTGTCTCCTGGTAACTCTCAGCAACTTCATTTTATGCTATATTCCATAACATTGTGGAGAAACCAAATCCAGGTGTGCAGTCTTTGGATGGGCTCACACAATATAAGTAAGCCTGGATTAGCAACACACAATTGCTGAGGGTGCAAAAAATAAAAAAAATGGTGTACTCAACCTACAAAGGATAATGTGACAGCTTTGTTTTGACTGCTGACCCAGTGGTCGGATCCTTACAAATCAAGTGTGGAATGTTTGGCAAAACAGCCAAGAGTAAGCATTCTCCTTTTTCCCTATCGGAATCCGATGCCTTCGGCTCTCCCCAGCTGTTATTTTGCCTGGCTAATTGAACTGTTTTAATCTCAGTTGGGTTTAATAAAAACGTAACTTTAAGAATTGCTACCTAGGCTTGCGGTCCCCCCCTCCACTCCCCAACCCTCCCCAACCTTCCTCTTGCTTCGCTTGTGTGTGTTGTCTTTTGTAGCTAAACCTCCGAGCAAGGAGTTTTCTACCACTCAGCTGCTTGGGAGTGTCTTTTGGCTAAAAAGCTAGGTTCAAAATGCAAGAAATCCATAAAATATAAATAAGCCGAAGGCAGACCACACATGGCTCACTGGGGATGGAAAGGATACCAGGAACCAGAGTCACATGAAGAGTGTTAAAAAAAAAGGTTTATTACACTTCTGCTCCAATAGTATATGCTCTGTTGTAAAGCCTGCTCCATCTTTCCTCTGGTCATCTATCCTTGCAAGGTTTCATCATGTCGAACGCAGAGGGATGCATGTGAGCATAGCAGACCCCAAACAGACCAGGGGGAAAGCATTGACTCATCTGTTCCTAACCATGGTTAAAATGATGAAGCAGGCATCTTGAAACCTGCCTCGTGGGATCCCCTCTAAGGGCAGAGTTGGCAATACAACAGCATTTCATCCCTTGCCCTCCCCCTCTGTCGGAGGCCTATGGGTGAAAATCCCTGGTCTCATTTGCGTTTGTGGATGATGGTCACACAGCAGACTTAAGCTGGCTACTAAATGGACCCACATTGTGGGTTTGCATTGAGCCGGGTTTCTACGGTACATTTTAGGTATAAAGAACTAACCCTAGGTAAAAACTAACCAAGCATTGTATGTTTCCAAACACAGGTAGTTGTTGACTTATAGCAGTTCGTTTAGTGACCGTTCCAAGTTACAACGGCCAAGTTACAACGTTTTCATAGTTACGACCTCTGCAGCATCCCCATGATCCTGTGATCAAAATTCAGATGCTTCTTCAGTGCCGTTGTAACCTTAAATGGTCGCTAAGTGAATGATGATAAGTCGAGGACATACTTGTAATTCCTACCAGATACTTGGAGAACAGGAAGGGAGCTGGGGCTTGGAGAAGGGTACAAAGGAAAAAGGGGAATGGTTCTCCCACTTTGTGGAGGTACAGCTTTCCGAAATGGAAGGAAGTTAACGTAGTCTCGGAGAAGAGCTCAAGACTGCTTCTTTGGCCCATGTAGGGTTTTAAAGCAAGCCAGAGATCTGGCTACAGCTGTCTGGACACAGATGCTGTGAGAGGGTGCAATGCAGGCCAAAGCCTAAATCATAATCACAATAAAAAATAACATGGAAAGATATCCTGGCAGTTCTGAACACACCCATCTTCCTTGAGAGACCTTAGGACAGGGGTCCCCAACCGTGGCAACTTTAAGACCTGTGGACTTCAACTCCCAGAATTCCCCAGCCAGCATGGCTGAAGTCCACAGGTCTTAAAGTTGCCAAGGTTGGGGACCCCTGCCTTAGGATGCTCTTTACCAAGGATGGTAGTGCAAACTGCCTTTGCTCGCCTCTGGCTAATTTGAGGCATAATTAATAGCAGGGCCAGCACTTTCCTCTCTAAGAGGAATTTTTTGCCTTAAAAGGCTAACTTGTCATTAACACCAACTTAATAACGATGATATCCCCATCCTGGGAGAAATCCTGGGAATTTCAATTTGCTGGGCTTGCCAAGACTTTCTATTAGAAGTCCCAAACCTGCTCACCAAATAATGCTTCCTTGGATTCTCCACGTTACATGACTCTGGACTGAATCCCAATTTCATTTTGAATGAAATGCATTTGGTAGCACATTCTGCAAACACCGATGTGGTGAAAAGACTTTTCGCAGTAGTCATTTAGAGGGTGACATGTTTGAGTAATTCTTAAGAAACCCCACGAAACCCCTCTTAGGGGTCCGTTGTTGACAGGATTCAATGGGGTTAGTCTAAAATAGATTCTATCTTACATCTACTATTCAGGGGTAAGGCCAGTTGAACACAATGGGGATTCCCCCCCCCCTTCGAGTACTCGTATATAGAATTGCATTGTTGGTTTTGCCTTAAGCCAGGGGTCTACAAACTTGGCCCTTTTACGACTTGTGGACTTCAACTCCCAGAATTCCTCAGCCAGCGTGCCTGGCTGAGGAATTCTGGGAGTTGAAGTCCACAAGTCATAAAAGGGCCAAGTTTGAAGACCCCTGCCTTAAGTGATGGTTGAAGCTGGGCCCCTGCTATATGATCCAAGTAATCAATGAACCAATGTGGTTCAAGTAAAAAAAAAAAAACTTCAGAGGTTCAACAAACCAATATGATTCAGGAATAATAACAATAATAAAGATTCAAGTGTTCTACGAACCAATATGGTTCAAGTTAAAATCCATTTCACAGAAATGATTAAAGTGGAGTGGATAAGGAATATGGAGGGTTCCTAATTATACGGAATGTCAAGAGGACCAAATGAGGGAGGTAGCTGGATGCAAAAATTCAAATCAACTTTTCCTTCAGTGATGGATTCCAACCTGGAATGACCTAGAGGATGCCAGGTTGGAGAAGATGGACTCATGCTCAGATCATCACTCTCACTGATGATATGGAACCTCGTGGGATTATGTGGTGTGGGTTTGCATCTGGGATGCCACCAGCCTGTGGTAGAAGCGATGATGATGGCAGAGATAAACTCAGCTTCTCCATCAATGGTTCATGGTTACAGTGGGTCATCTCTGCAACTGACCCATGGCACCAGCATCTACTAAGTGAAGATGCTTTTTTGTGTAAAGCTTCAAGGTTCAGTTTGGTGTCCTAATCCTTATCCAATAACTTAATTAAATATAGCAAGCAGAAGACAACAGATTCCATTGGGGTGGGGAGAATAGAAAGGAGAAGAAAGAAACAAAGACGTTCATGCTTCCTCACTCTTCAAGGTGGAGAAAGAGAAAGGCTGGTCTATCCAGGATGGCTGTCAGGTGAAGGATGGAGGATAGACCAACCCAGGGCCTGAGCGACGGCTTCGTAGCAAAAGACGCAGCTAGAGAGTAAAGACAAAAGAGTTTGTCAAAGCTGCACATTGCTCTTCGAACTTTTGCCCTACCTGGATCATTCAAAAGCCCAACTCACCTGCTCGGCTGCTGGTCCTGAAGTCAATAGGTGAACTGGCTGCTCGTTCTCTGGGTTCCGGGCACTGGGATCGGCCCAGTGGTCTAGTAAGAGGCGGACAATCTGCTCTTGATAAGGATGGTCATGTAGACCTGCAGCCATGTGCAGAGCTGTGTTGCCATGGGCCTGAGGATAGAAAAGCCCTTGATCCTAAGGCAGTACTCAGCTTATCATCTCCTGATCAAGAGAGGCAGATCAGGCAAGGCAAACACTGGAAAGGCATATGCCAAGAGGCTTGGGTGATGATGCTGAACCTGCATACCACACCTTCTTTAGGTGGAAAGACTCCCATCCCGGTCTCAATTCCATATACAAAATTATGGCTCTTAAGGTACAGCAAGATGAGAAATTCATTCATGCATCTCCAATATGATTGCCAAGCCACCCACACAGTTCTCATCTGTTTGACTTCTGCACCACATGTTGTTACAGGCTTTCCTCCCCCTTGCAGCTGAGCAGGCAAATGGTTTTAAAAGGAGAAGTACCTTGTCCCAGACACCATGCCTCAGCAGTCATGCACTCTCTCTCCTTCGCTCCCTCTTCCTCTGTGGATTTCCCCCCCAAATCAAATGCCTTCCAGATATTCTTTACTTGCTGCTTCCAAGATCTGCAGCATTGACATGTGCTAACGGTAAGCAAGGGCAGTCCTCAATGTGCAAAGTTTAGCATCCATTCAAAGTTACAAGGGCACTGAAAAAAAGGGATTTGCAACTGGTCCTTGCACTTATGATTGTCACAGCATCCCGATGGTCCCATGATGAACGTTCGGCTGCTTTGCAACCGGCATGTGTTTACAAGGGTTACAGTATCCCGGGGTCATGCATGATCGCCATTTGTGACCTCCCCAGCCAGCTTCCAACAAGAAAAGTTAATGAGAGAAGCCAGATTTGTTTAATAACTACATGATTTATTTAACAACCATGGCAGAAAAGGTTATAAAGTTGGATGCAACTCACTGAACACACTGCCTTGCTCAGTGGCAGAAATTCTGGCCCCGGTTGTGGCTGTAAATTGAGGGCTTCCTGTAGTCCAAGGCACAGGTTGGAAGCTGTCAGAAAATGCACACCACTTTCTCTGTGCCCAGCCCCGGGGGCAATGCTTGTGAATAGCAATAGCCCTTAGACTTATATACCGCTTCACAGTGCTTTGCAGCCCTCTCTAAATGGTTTACGCAGTCAACACATTGTCCCCAACAATCTGGGTCCTCATTTTACTGACCTCGGAAGGATGGAAGGCTGAGCCAACCTTGAGCCCCATCAGGATCAAACTGCCGAACTGCTGGCAGCTGGCAGAATTAGCCTGCAGTACTGCATTCTAGCCACTGTGCCACCACAGCTCATGGGGGAATGGGGAACTCCTAGTCGCATACCTTAATGTTTACAAAGTTCTGACGTTCTTGTCCAGGTAGTTTGAGGAGGAACTGGACCAAAGGCAGGTTTGCAGCCTGAACAGCCAAATGCAGGATGGTTTTACTGCTCTTCAACTCCTAACCAAAGTAAAGGGAAAACAAAGATCAGACATCCAGGCAGTGGTGAGTTTAGGTAATTCTCCAGTGTGGTCTAAGTGGGTTCTTTGTTTAGATGGCACTGTGTATTACTTCCAAATGGGAAAAGTCAAATCTGTTGCACTGATGTCCACCTTCTGATGGAGAGCCTGGATGTTTTGCCTTCCCACCTCCCTGGTGGTGCTAATACAGCCAGACAAGACACTCTTCCTGGAGAGTCAGGAATCCTACCTCGACATGACATGAACCCTTGATACAGCCTGCCCACTTACCTGGCTCTTGTAATCAGCTCCAAGTTGCAAAAGCCGCTGAATACAGAGCAGTAAGTTCTGCAAGTGATGTTGGGATGAGGGCTCCATGTTTTGTATCTGGAAGGCAGCATTGTGAGCAACGACGGCACAGTGCAAAGGAGTGAGACCTGTACAAATACCGCAGAAAAGGAATCAGACAGCACTCCTGCATTTTGTGTGTGTGTCTTTGAGTGAGTGTTGACTCCTGATATGTTGATTGACACCTAGTCCCTGCAGTTTTCTTGGCAAGATTTTGGAAGAGGTTTGCCACTGTCTTCTTCCTAGTGCTGGGAGAGGGGCTCTGGCTCAAGGTCATGTAACTAAGGCAGAACTACAACTCACAGTCTCCTGGGTCATTGGCCTAAAGTCCCCTAGCTAGTTTCCATGCCTAAGAGGGCACTAGAACTCACAATCTCCTGATTATTGGCCCAAGGTCACCCAGCTGGCTTTCATACCTAAGGTGGAACTAGAATGCATGTTCTGCTGGTTTGTATCCTGTTTTCTTAACCACTACACAAACATGGCTCTTAAACATACTTTTTGAGAAATATGTTTTGAGAAAAATCAGAAGCTTTTATCATCTTGATGTAATGGTTGGTTCCCAGAGAGCTACGAATTCCGGAAGCCATTATGTAGACAGCCAACTGCAAGCTTCTATATTATCAGTGAAGAGAGCTGCATCCTCACTAGATCAGAAGAAGACTGTTAGAAGGAAAATCAGAAAGCTCTCTGCCCTACCATCCAAGGAGGAAAAAATGGCTCTAAACATGAAGTGGTTCAGTGGCTGGAAGTTTTGTAACCCTGACTTCTTCTCAATGAATCTTGCTAAAGGAAAAAAATAGTATGAATCATACTTGGAAAAAAAATCACTTTTGGTTCAGGCAGTTGCCAAAGAACCTGACACTTACCTTCAAAATTTCTGGCTTCCACATTGACAAGAGCACCAGTCATCATGACAGCCTGGAAAAGAAGCCGGAGGTGGGGGAAATAATAAAGCCGATGTGTGTTTTGGAAAAGATTCGTTTGAGTCATGAGATTTTCCATGCTGGCTCAGGATATCTAGGAAATATAGGTCCAGTATATCAGGAGGTCCTGGAGGTTGTGCTAGGGCCAGTGTTTCTCAACCTTGACAATTTTAAGGCATGTGGACAGCCAATGCTGGCTGTGGAATTCTGGGAGTTGAAGTCCACATGCCTTAAAATTGTCAAGTTTGAGAAACACTGCTAGGCAAAGCTTTGATGGGATGACTTACTTGGAAAGAGATTCAACCCAATCACCGTGTCAAAACAGATACACAAAGTCAAGCAGGGTGGTAGTTTTACTATCCAGATTAGAACCACCCTGCCAGTTTACAGGTAGTCCTTGACTTATAGCTATTTGTATAGCGAGCAGAAGTCATAACAGCGCTGAAAAAAATGACTTATGACCAGTCCTCGCACTTATGACCATTGCAGCATCCACAGAGTCACATGATCCAAATTTAAGAGCTTGGTAATCAACATATATTTATGGTTGCAATGCCCCAGGATCATGTGATTGCCATTGTGGCTTTCCCAGCTGGTTTCCAACAAGCAAACTCAACAGAGGAGGCTGGATTAGCTTAACGGCCAATCATTCACTTAACAATGGCAATGGATTTGCTTAACAACCATGGTAAAAAAGGTTGTACAACTGGGCATGACCCACTTAACAACCACCTTGCTTAACAATGGAAATTGTCATAATTTGAAGGCTACTGCATCTCTTTTGCTGGCTTATCAGTGCCTTTCCAGGCATATCCCCAAACTACATGTCTCAAAGTGAAGCAGGTGGATTAGCAGATTAATACCTCTTCAGTGCTTCTCTGATGCTTTGCTTGGAGCATTGAGACAGGTAGTTTTGTCCCCACTAAAGAGGTATTGTGCCTACTTTGCACAAGGCTATTTTAATGGAGAAAATAGGCCAGTCTCACCTCAATGACACTGGGCAGCCCATAGGTGGCGCCAAGATGCAGCACTGTCTGCCCCTTTTGGTCCATGGCATTGACATCTGCTCCCAGCAAAACCAGGTCCTTCACGATCTTAGATTGATTGGCTGCAGCCGCCACTAATAATGGAGTCTGGGCAGAAAGAAAAAAAAATTGAACTGAAGAAGCTTCTTGGATGAGAAGTGAAACATTTTCAAAGAAAAAGCACCTTTGGGGCAACCATGACCTGGATGGCTGAGAATCTCCATAAACAATTGAACTGAAACTAAACTTGAGGGCACGGCCTAAACAGGTGATCCATATAAGGCAGTCACCCAAATGGCAGCTCATTATAGGGGTAGAAATGGATGGAAGGAATGATGCGCCAACATAAGTTTTCGTAGCCCCAGTATCAGTCTATCTCAGTGTTTTCAACTCCCCAAATTCAGTTCCCCCTAGATCCCCATCAAATCAACTCCCCCCATCTGCCTATCCTAGATCTGCCTGATCTGCCTATCCTAGATCCAAAACTATGAATATTGTAAGAATATATATATATACAACTCTAATGTTTGCATGTAGCTTCCCAGTGGCATTTTTTTTACATTGCAATCTCAGATTCTTGAAGGACAGTTGCTGATGCTTTCCCATTCCAGTCTAACATGGAACAGCAGATCATGCAAGATAAGCCACAGGGATGATGGGAAGAGACTTCTTTCAAGAAACAACAGCCCAAGATACCTTTAGCAATATCTGTGCAGAGAGAGAACTTCCAGCTAATTCATGGACCAGAGGTTTCTAAACTTGGCAACTTTAAGATTTGTGGACTTCAACTGCCAGATTACCCAGCCAGCCATGGAAGTTGAAGTCCACAAGTCTTAAAGTTGCTATGTTTGGAGACCCTTGTCATAGAGTGAACTTACCTTCCCCCTGTGTTCTTTGACATCCAACTGTCCACAATCTCGGAGCATTTCAGCTGCAGCATAGGACAATGGGCGGAGTCCTTGAGCAACAAAGAGATGGAGCAACCTGGAAAAGAAAGGGGCAGAATGATCAAATGTCTACCATACTTTTTGGATAGCCACTTCCCATGCCAATATCCTCATCTCATTTTTTTTTTAAAGTATTCTGACTTCAGAAAGTTTTGTGAGTTTACAACTAGCATCTTGTATTCTCTCATTTGCAAACTCTCTGGCTGCATCTCTTATTTTATCATTTGAATTTTGAAAGGTTGCCAAGTTTCAGTCTCTTTCCAGATAAAGAATCGTAGAAAGGAAAAACAAGATCACTCTTGAATTCATAAAGCCAACTCTGCAGGCGAGGACATTGCTTACCTTATCATAGCTTTCTCAGGTACAGTAAGTTATCTACTACATTTTTATTTATAGTATCATAATCAGTTCCTTGTGCAACATATATAGCAGTATCCAAAGGTAAGGGAAGCAAGGATGATTTGCAAAGATAGAAAGCTATAGATTATAATGAATGGAATAATTAGATTTAGCTATCTAACTTTTTCTTTGTTCTCTCATGTCATTAACTGACACAGTTTTGCTGCTCCTTATGCCAGTGTTTCTTAACCGTGACAACTTGAAGATGGGCGGCCTTCAACTCCCAGAATTCCCCACAGAGCATGACGTCTACCCATCTTGAAGTTGTCATGATTGAGAAATACTGACTTTTGTCTTTTCTGTGTGAGTATAACATCGTGTACATGGAATGGAATAGCGTGAGGGATATGATGATCCACTGTTAGGGATTAGCTAAGAGGTATGCATACCTATGCAAAGGAATTATCACAAAGACATCTACAAAGATTTAACATGTAACTATACAAACTGTAAACCTACTGGTTGCTTTTGTTTTTTTGCCAATACTTTATTGACCACCCAATTGCCATGTATTTTTCCTATCTGATTCACTCTAAGTGGCAAGAAAATGACACAGCTGCCACCGTTTAATCCTGTTTTATGCTGCAACCATGGATATTTTCCCAGTGTGATGCATTCCAGATGTGATACAACTGTGTAACACTTGGCATTTCTAGCTGGTATGGTCTTTGTTTTTTCCAAGCTGGAAATTACAGGCCTCACCTAACTGAAAAGCACCAGGCTGGCAACAGATCCCAGTCCCTTTCCCAGTTGGTTCCTATGTAGCCTGCTTGTTATCTGCTTTCCAAAATCTTTCCTTTTTTTCATCTTTTCCCATGACCATCCCAAACAAAAACACGGAATGACTTTCTCAGTGGGATGGTGCCCCAGTTGTACACTTACGTGTCGCCATCTTCATCCTGCTGTAAAAGGTGAGATAGATCTATATTCTGGATCTGTGCCCGAGCTTGAGTCAGTTCCCCTGGATCTACATCCACAGATAAGTCTGCATAACTCCCAGGGAGGAGGAAAGAAGCATTGTTTTGTTCCTGTCCCAGCCAGGAGTTCGCTGAGCTTGGATAAAGATGGACAGCTTCAGTGGCAACCTTCTGGGTGGAAATTAAAAAAAAAGGTAAACAGGTATTGGAGTGAAGCTGATCTAAAGATCGGTGGTTCTCCCTTCTCTATCTCTGCCCATGATCCTCTCTAACCTTTTATGCCTAAGGCAGGATTATAACTCACAAACGAGGGCAAATATATATGTCCCAGGATAATGTTGCAGGATCCAATCTGGGTTAGTCACCAGGACCAGAGGTTTGGTCTTCCAAGCTTTTGGACTCGTGCTGGAGCCTATCTCTCTAGATTAGACCTAGATTGGATTCTGCAGATTGGATCCTGCAGGATTAGAACTCACAGGCCCCTGGTTTGTAGGCCAGCACCTTAACTACGATGCCAAACTGGCTCTTCAGATGGGTGGTTCTCCCTTCTCTTCTTCTGCCCATGATCTCTGATAACCGTTCCGTCTTTATCAAATGATGCACCAAGGTTATTGAGATCCTCCACACAAAATAGCTACATGTAATACATGTAATAAGGATGCAATCTCCCATCACTCATGCTCATTGTAAGAAACAATTGTGCTTATAGTTGTAGCTATAGGTGAAATTTCTCCAAAGAGCTCTTCAGTAATGTGACCCAGGCACTATCTTGTATGGAAGCACAAATTGTTTATTATGGTACTGAAAGCATCTGAGGCTAAAGTGGGTGAAGATGCAACTCTTCTATATAGTAATGCAAATTAGAGTACGTCTCTGCTTGGATACAGCAAAGTAACTGGACATCATTGAGCTATGACTACTATAGCAACATCCTCTATGCCAGTGGGGTTAGGCAATGGGGTGGTTTCTATGGAATGATGGGGTGGAGCCACCAGAGCAGTGGTATATTGAGAAAGGGTTCCATGAAGTTGCTTTCTGTAGAGTTACAGTCGGAATGGGACAATTTGCTGCAGCCAACTCGCTATGGTATAATTCAACGTGGGATAACTCAAGACAGGGACAAGTGAATTACAGTGGGTTTTGTCTTGTTTTAGATTTGAACCTTGAACCTAAAGCAAGACCAAGGCCCTCTCCAATTATTTGTCCCTCTCTTGAGTTATCCTGCATTGAATTGTCCTGTGACAAGTCCCAAGTTGGCCATGGCAAATTGAGTTGGCCAGGGCAAGTCGGCTGCAGTGAGTTGTCCTACACCCAGTTACCATCATGGGTCTTGTCTTAAACTGGCCTTAGATACCAGATCCTATGCCTGCTGCTAGTATTTTCTGGAACTGCTATCTTCATGGAATGCCTCTTTGTTCTCTCAATGTATCTTCTAGTCTTATCAGCCTGCCTTTGCCTTCTAAATATTTTATGACTGATTCCATAGAGTTTATTTTTTTCTCTCTCAAGTTCCCGGGTAGGTATTGAGGAAAAGGAATGGATGATTTGCTCGATTTTACTTGTCCAAACCAGCACCATACTTTTTCCTACGTACAGTAGTTCAACTCATCTGGATAGCACCTGGATAGGGAAAGTGAGCCCAGACTCATCTACTTTGAAAATACATCTAGGCATTTTTTTTAAAATAACATACTGCTTTCTCATTGTCTTTTCCAAAGAAAAGATGTGAATTGCACTTTGGAGAGGCTCCTGGCATGCTTTGAAGATCTGCATGCAATTCTCAGGATTCCCTTTTGAGAAGCAAGTGGCTTTTATCAGCCAGCTTGAGACAGTAGTATGGATCCACTGCTAAATACCCCAGGGAGTTCATTCTATCCCACTTCCATCTCTGCTCATCTCACCTCATAATTTACTGCTGATGTTATCTTGGAAGTATACCCTTCCTCGGGACCTCCAGGGCCCACTGTTCCATAAATATTGGTTTCCAAGGGAGGGCAGGGGCTCATCACATCATACTGGCTCCCCTGAGGCTGGAGATGGAAATCGTTGCCAGGGTCCACACATGGGTAGTGAAAATCTGAAGAGAAAGCTCCATGGCTGGAGGCATCGGTTTGCCAGGCAGCAAAGGCAGCAACTGGATACTGAGGAGCTGCAGTCTGTCCTAGAGCAGGAACCCCCTTTTCTATTGTTCCATGGGGCTCTAAAAAAAGAGATTTGGGAACGTTCCAATCAGTGAATAAAGTTGATTTCTTCCGAGAAGCAGAAAATGCTCAGAGCACTGTACTCAGGTCTACATTTATGACATCAGTAACCTGCTGCAACTGTCTCAGTGTGAAAAATGATCATACTTGGCTAGCTGGCTAAGTATCTTTCTCCTGTGTATATTTAATCTGGACATTTTTAGTGTCATTGTTGTTTTCAGTATTTTTAATTGTAATATATTTTTTGAATTGTTAGCCGCCCAGAGTCTTTGACTAAGATGGGCAGCTATAGAATTTAAATACATACCTACATAGATAAAGTCCTAAGTCTACCTTACAGGGCTGTGGCAAGGTAAAAATGCGATAGAGAAAAACCTCTTTGAGTCAATTTGTACCCTTGAAGGAAATGCTAGTAAATACATGATAGTTAATCAATAATCTCAAGTAAAGACCTAACGAAATTTTGAATAATAAACCTATTTGAATAATAAATCTTGCCCTGTAAATGAGTAATACAGGATAATCCCTGTATTTTTATATGTATGTATGTATGTATGTATGTATGTATGTATGTATGTATGTATGTATGTATTTTATTTAATCCCTATTTATAAAAATATAAAAACTAATAGAAACTAATATTTAGAAGGAAGAAAAGAAGGAAGGAAAAACAAAGCCAGAAGTGCAAGAAAAAAAGTATAACTTCTGATTTTCTTTTACAGCAGTTATAAGTAGAAATTAACTTCTTACTTGATGGTTATAGCACGGCTTTCACTTTTTCTATAATCTATTTTTTAATCATCAAAACCATATATCAAAAGTGCATTTTTGTTCTGTTTCATGCACAAGGTCTATAAGGGTTTTCCAGTCAGCATTAGACTTAATGTTTTTTCTTTGATCGAAGATGTCAGTTTGGCCAATGACCTTAGTGCATGTGATAGACAGCGCAGGATTCACAAACATGAGGCTGAGATAGCTTTCTCCAATAAAGGATAATTAGTTTAACATTCAGAAGTGTGGTAACCACCAGAGACAATCTTGGTATTGTCTTCCAACTGAAAAAATCCCCCCTAGCAAAGCTTCCATCTTCACTTTTGAAGTTAGACGTGGCTACATCTGCCTAGGGCCCTTAACAGTCTAACCAGATCTTAAGAGGGCAGAACTTGGTCCTCAGTCCTCTCTGAGTTTGGTTGTTTTCTTGCAGGTGTTTCATTACCCAAACAAGATAACATTATCAGGGCTAGCAACACAAAAACAGCCAAACTCAGAGAGGATCAAGGACCCCTCATTTCAACCGTGAGCTACAAATATTCTTCTTTTATCCTCCATTCTCTACCTCTGCCCATGATCCCTGCGAATCTTTTATGCCTAAAGTAGAGTTAGAATTCCCCTGGTTTTTAGCCCAGCAACTTAACCACTCCCAAAGGTCCTTTTTTAGGAGGCAACTGGACTTTCTTGTTTTTCTTTGAAGACGTTTCACTTCTCAGCCAAGAAGCTTCTTCTGCTCTGACTGGATGGTGGGAAATGGAAGGATTTATATTACTTGCAGACAGCTGGTCATTTGCATTTTTAGAAAGTTGTTGAGGCCACCTGGAGGTTTATCTGTGTCCTGGGGTCACCTGAGCAGTGCTGTGTGTGGAGCCTTCTTGGCTGCAGGATGTTTTCTGCCCTGTGTCCCTTCACTGAAGATAGGTGCAGGCTGTTGGGGATGAGTTTGTGTTGTCTGCATCTCAGAAGCACAAATGGTTCCTTAAATGTTTTCTGGAAATCCATTCATACTCCTGCACCATTCGAAGGGTGTTCATCCCAGTGCATAGCTAAATGTCTATGGAGATTCTCCGTCATCCAGGTCATGGTTGTCCCATGCTTTTTCAAGAGGCATTTGGGGCAAGCATGACCTGGATGACTGAGAATTCCATAGACACCTTAAACACTCTACCAAACTAGGTAGCATTGGATTACTGAAAATTCGGGTAGTTGAAGGACACCCAAGCTGGAAAGTGTCCAAGTCCAGCAAGCCTTGCTGAAAGAATATCCTAACCTTACCATATTGTCCTAAAGTGGACAAAAAAACAAGACTGACTTGGAATATATTTCAAGAATGTATTTTTTTAAACAGGGGAAAGAACAGGTAGTCCTTGACTCAAACCACAATTGAGCCCCCCAATTTCTGTGGCTAAGTGGGTTTTGCCCCATTTTATGGCCTTTCTGCCACAATTGTTAAGCAAATCACTGCCGTTGTTAAGTGAATCGTGCAGTTATTATGCGAATCTGGCTTCCCTCATTGACTTTGCTTGTAGAAAGCTAGCTGGGAAGGTCACAAAAAGGGATCATAAGGCCCTGGGACAGTGCAACTGTCATAAATCCTTGCTAGTTGCCAAGCTCCCCTATTTAGATCAAATGACCATGGTCAGGGGTAGGCAACCTTGGCTCTTTTATGACTAGTGGACTTCAACTCCTCGAATTCTGGGAATTGAAGTCGAAGCTGGCTCAGGAATTTTGGGAGTTGAAGTCTACGAATCATAAAAGAGCCAAGGTTGCCTACCCCTGACCATGGGGATGCTGCAACAGTCATAAGTGTGAAAAACCAGTCATAAGTCACTTTTTTTTAGTGCCACTGTAACTTTGAATGGTCACTGAACAAATGGCTGTAAGCTGAGGATTACCTGTAGCGACAATGCAATTTTGAGAATTGGGCAATAATTCTGTAACAGTTAAGAACCAGGAAATTGATTAGATAGATTAAATAGATTGAGACTGAGAGATAAGAGATGGATAATGAATTAAATCTGAAACTGCTTGGAAGTTTATTAAGTGACCTAAGCCCAAAACAAATGATTCTTGCTGCAATTTAAGTGGAAAGCCTTAAGTACCTCAAATGCTTTCCATAATCTGTTCACCTCCAGATGCACTGGAAAATCTCTGCTCCATTAGAATTGCTGGAGTTGTAAGATGCCAGCTGGAGGGTACCATCTTTAGAAAAGCTGATGGAAAGCTAAATTCACAAGAGCATTTGTGACAGAGATAAAGCAATTACATTCCCAGATGTCTGAGTCTACTCACCTGGCCAGCTGGCTTCTAAAGCTCCTGGAGGGATCTGAAATGGGAATAGAAAAAAGAAAGAGAGAGAAAGTAATGAATCTGAGAAAGGCAATAAGACCAGGTTGGATCAACCATCTCTGATCAAATGCATTGGAGGAACAAGAAGAAGGAAGGCCCAGATAGTTCACTGATTCCACCAAGAACCTGGAAAGAAACTTGAGTTGTGTCGGTGAAGACTCTCAGGCAAAGGTGTCTGAAGGAGGAATGGGACAACTCACCGTGGCCAACTTCCATGGCCAACTTGCCATGGCCAACTTGCCATGGACAATTTACTACAACCAACTTGCCACAGCCAACTCCCCATGGGACAATTTGCCATAGGACAACTTGCTGTGGGACAATTCAACAATTCAATTGAATTATTTAAAAGAATTAAACATTATTTTAATTTTTGTCATTCATATTTCATTTTGTCCCTCCCTTGGCATCCTTTCTTTAATGATTCTATTCCACTATTTCTTCGATATTAATGTTACTCTTGTCCTGTGGTGAGTTGGCCAAGATGAGTTGGCAGGCAAGGTTGTCTGAAGGCTGAATCAAAATCCAACCAGCTGCCATGATTCAACCTTCAAACCACGTTGTGCTGCAGAGAAGTGTTTGGCTCTCTACATGTATAAGGGTGTTCAGCTCTATTCAGCAGGTGACTCACCAGGGGTCCAGTGCTGTGGTTTAGGGCAGCTTGTTGTTGTCGTCGTTGCTCCAGTAACTTCCGCACAGTCTGAGGTGGTGGCCCTTTGCAGCCTGTAAGTAGACAGAGAATCGGGGTATTAGAAGTGGGGTGTGGGTGGGGATCATCCATAATCTTCCCTTGAGATATATAGTCTTCTGGGCAACTGCTCCAATATCAGTCTATCTAGTGGTGGGATTCAGCCGGTTTGTACCACTTTGGCAGAACCGGTAGCTGATTTTTTGTTACCTAGGCCCAGAATGGACTTCTAGAAGCAGCATCCACACAGAGAGCCGGTTGTTCGCATATTTGAATCCCACCATTGAGTCTATCTGTTTGGGAGTAATCTTAGGGCAGCGGTTCTCAACCTATGGGTCGCGACCCCATTTGGGGTCGATCGACCATTTTTCAGGGGTCGCCAAAGGCGGCGATCCGCCATTTTCTCCCCTCCAGGGGCGGCGCCGCGCATGCGCGCCGCGCATGGGGGGCACCGCGCATGTGTGCCACGCCACGGATGCGCATAACGTTTGTGTGATGGGGGACGCCGTCACACAAACGTTGAGAACCGCTGTCTTAGGGTGAAGTTTTCCTACAAACAAACGTCTGTGGAGATTCTCAGTCATCCCGGTCACTGTCCCAAAGATGCCTTTTCAAGAGGCAACTGGACTTTCTTGTTTTTTCTTTGAAGACATTTCGCTTCTCATCCAAGAAGCTTCTTCAGCTCAGACCTACAAACGAACACGTGGAAAGGCTTGATACTCTTCTTCGCTCTTCAAGAAGTTTGGAAAAGAAGCTTCTCTTCACAGTGGTACAACTCGACTTACAACTATTCATTTAGTGACTGTTTGAAGTTACAATGGCACTGAAAAAGTGGCTTATGACCATTTTTTCACACTTATGATCGTTGCAGCATCTCCATTCGGAAGCTTGGCAACTGACTCATGCTTATGACGGTTGCCGTGTCCCGGGGGGCCATGCGATCACCTTTTGACAAGCCAAGTCAAAGGGGAAGCCAGATTCACTTAATAACCTTGTTACTAACTTAACAACTGTAGTGACTCAGTTGTAGCGCCTTAACCATTACTTTTATTGAAAATTTTAACAACCCTATAAGAACTAATACGAACTGAAATAGAATGAAAAAGAATAAAGAGAAAGGGTGAAATAAAAGAAAAGCTAAGGTTACAGAGAGAAAAATGTAGAAGAAAATTTGAGAAAAAGTAAAAAAATATAAAAAAGAGGCTTGCAATCTTCTTCACAGTAGTTATAGGTAGAATCATGTTTTAACCTCTCTCTAAAGTTACATCATAGCGTTCTTCTTTCTATAATCTATAATCTCATCTATAATGTATCCTGTCTAATCATCAAAATTATAAATTGCGAGATCACATTTTTTCTTTCTTACACAAACTGCCCATAAGGGGTTTTCAATCGCTGATAAAAGTTATCTTTTCGCTAATCAAACCAGTCAATGTAGCCATTTCAGCAAGTTCTGTCATCCTCGCCAACCATTCCTCTCTTGCAGCTATTGCCAAATTGTTTCCATCTTTGTGCGTGCCATAATCTTGCTTGCAGGTATCACATTTAAAAACAGTATTCCACATCTCTTTTCTAGCTGTTTTGATCCCAGGAGGAAAAGTTATGGTTTCAATTGAATGTTAATCTTTAAAATCGTCTGAATCATTCTATGTGTTTAAGCCTTCAGCAAAAGATGCTTTAAGACTTCCGTGCTTCCAGCCCTTGAAAAATGGTATCATCAGCAGGTTTGAGGCTGCCGAGGTCGCTCCTAGCAATTTTAATTCTGTTCCGATTGCTTTTATTCCAACCTTTCTCATGATATATTCTGCAGATTAGTAAAAACAAGCAGCGTGACCATGTACAATGTTAGATGTGCTCCATTCCCAATTTAGAACCATTTAATTGTTCCAATATTCTGTTCTAACTATTCCTTCCTGGTTCATCGTACCAATTCTTCAATAGACAGATTAGATAGCCTGATACTCCCATGTTTTCCAGGGCTATACACCATTCACTGTGGTGTTGTACACAATCAAAAGTCTTAATATAGTCAATGAAGCATGAAAATAATTTTGGGATTTTTTTTGTCTTTTCCATTAGCCATCAAATGATAGCAATATGATTTTAATTGCCCCAACCACTTTGTAATCCATATGTATAGCCGGTGATTCTCCTTCCAAATAGTGTTTGAATGTTTCATATGCTGCCCATTTCTTACACCCCACTTAATATTGCCATGCACACCATGTTTCTCCAAAAGGAGAGAACACGAAGGGGCAATCCTACCGGATATAGAACTCAGCTCCATTTGAGGTTAATGACATTAAGGGAATTAACATAGATGTGTTTGTTTGCCCAGGCAGAACCTGAGATATTAGAAGTTTAATTCCTTCTTGGCTTGTCTGAACTGCTAATTGCGTTTCAAGAAAGTTGATACTGGTGCTCTTGGGTGCTTCTTTGCTGTGCAAAGAACATTTTTCCTATGTCTCACTTTGCAAACAGCACTTTCTAGAGGGAGTTTGGATCCATATGGAGAGAAGATACAGTTAACAGGAAAAGAGGTAATGGTTATTTGGCTTCTTCACTCTCTTCTGTCAGAGGCAGCATCAAGGATGGGCTTTAGCTAACAGAATAACAAAGTTGGAAGGGACCTTGGAGGTCTTCTAGTCCAACCCCCTACCCAGGCAGGAAACCCTACACCATTTCAGACAAATGGCTGTCCAATCTCTTCTTAAAAGCCTCCAGTGTTGGAGCATCCACAACTTCTGGAGGCAAGTTGTTCCACTGATAGATTGTTCTAACAGTCAGGAAATTTCTCCTTAGTTCTTAGGTTGGCTCTCTTCTTGATTAGTTTTCATCCCTTGCTTCTTCTACTGCCTTCCGGTGCTTTGGAAAACAGGTTGACCCCCCCTTTCTTTGTGGCAGTCACTTAGATATTGGAACATTGCTATTATGTCACCCCTACTCCTTCTTTTCATTAAACTAGACATACCCAATTCTTGCAACCGTTCTTTGTATGTTTTAGCCTCCAGTCCCCGAATTATCTTTATTACTCTTCTCTTCACTCTTTCTAGAGTCTCAACAACTTTTTTATACTGTGGTGACCAAAACCGGATGCTGTATTCCAAGTGTGGCTATTTTGGTCAAGCTAAGCAATCTCTTAGCTTAGCTTGTAGTCATACAAGCAGAGAAAACTGACAGCCGAAAAAGACCTAGTGGTCCATCGAATTTGCCCTTTCAGTTTTTCTTTTCTGCTGTCAGTTTTCCTTTTAATTTAGGTATTTATTATTTTTATTTATGTTTATTTTTTATTCTTTTTGGATGACTTATGACCACCATCGAGGCCACAAAATTTTCATTCCTAAGCAACATAGTTGTTAAGTGAATTTTCCCCCATTTTACGACTTTTGTTGCCACAATTGTTAAGTGAATTGTTGTAGTTGTTAAGTTAGAAACACAATGGTTGCTCAGTGAATCTGGCCTCTCCATTGACTTGGCTTGTCAGAAGGGTGCAAAAGGGGATCATGTGAAACCGTCACGAGTACATGCCAGTTGCTAAACATCCTAATTTTGATCACATGAGCAGTGGGATGCTGCAATGGTGATAAATATGAAAAACAGGGATAAGTCCCTTTTTTTCAGTGCCATTGTAACTTTGAACGGTCACTAAACGAATTGTTGCAGGTTGAGGACTCCTTGTATTTGGTATTTGGGTGCCAATCTTGGAATTGCATTCAGAGTAGTGGACAGAACCAGGGCAAAGAAAGAAAGAAAGAAAAAAGACAGTGGGATTTTATGCACAACTAATTTGAAAGTATATTAAATGAATCGGATCTAGTAATGATGATATTAAATTTATCTCTGTGCGCTTAACTGTTCATTCCATATTAAATCCTAATTTCTCCATTATTAATTCCATCTTTATGATTTTATCATTGCCCTCTGGTGTCCCATGATAAACTGCAGTCTGGCAGCTGGGGGCATCTCTTAGGTTTACCAGAGATGCAGGACCTCAAAATGTGTACTTCGGATAGAGGGAAAAGATTTAGGATAGTGCTTTTGAAACACTGCTGGCTGGGGAATTCTGGGAGTTGAAGTCCACACATTTTAAAGCTGCCACGTTTGAAAAACACTGATTTAGGGTGACAAGTCAACAGGAGGAGTACTTCTGAATGAGCAGGACTGACTTACCATATTTTGAAGGGAGTGAATAATAGATTTTAGTGTAGGGTGCAAAGTCCATGGCTTACAGGCCACAATGGATCACCTGCAGGTGCGCTTTCTAGCAATTCTCAAAGCCTCCTCCCAAAATGTAGACAGGCACAAACCTTACAGTCCTTTCGTTTGCATTTCTGGAGTTTTGAGATTCTTAAGCGGTCAAGCAGTTGCTTTCGATCTTGCGTTCTTGCAATGCCTTACAGCATAATTTGAAACACCTTCAACACTCCCAGAAACCCTGAAACCCTGGTACCACCCACTTTGGGGAGGGGGGGTGGCCCTTTATTTGATGTGCAAAGCCTGGTGTGGCCTTTGAGCTGATAGGAGTTGTAAACCTCTTTTACTATTTCAAGAGGAGATCCTTCTACATCCAGTTTCTTCACTTCATCGTTTCCTACTGTCCCAAGATTAGGGTTTGACTTGTCTTGGGAGTTTGTCTGCCTGTTTATGGCAATTGATGGTATCTTTAAAATGTGAGCTTTAATGACAATTAAAGCAGCAGAAAAGAAATGGTGGGGAACTCCAAGACATATCTACAAGAACAGGCTGGGTATCTCAGCCCCAAGCAATCCATTCCCCCTCGAAACTGTTGATGGATGCCTCTTTGAGGCCCTTGCACACACTGACAAAAACAGCTGGTTTCAGTTTCTCAGACCCGCACCTGATTCTGCATCTGGAAGGTTCACCTTCTCCAAAAGCCCCTAGGTATCTCCTCTAAACATGATCTTATCAGGTCTTTCTGAAGAGCCCTGGATCCATCATGCAAATGGCCAGGCTAAGAATGGGTAGAGCAGCACCCTTCAGAAGACATCTTGGATCAAGTCGTAAAAGCCACGAA